AAGAACACCCCAAACATCAAAATTAAGAAATGTTGCAGGCTCAGTTTTATTAAGCCATGCAAATTCATGGTAAAGTATTCATAAAAAAATAGATGGCCATGTTACAGCAGTTTTTGCAGAAAATCGGATAGCTTTCAACATCCGGATACTGGTACACCTTGTAAAAACAACCATTCTGTGCAACAGATAAACGTGATATATAAAATTAATAGGATAATCGTTTATAACAGTCCATTACCTATCCTTATACTAATTGGCGGGTGAACTTTCTTGTAGGAAAATTTTGAAAATATATAAATGAATGAACGAATGGATACATGTACGGCATCAATGTAGACCACAACGATATTCGAAATCCAGGTTTTAGTATTCAAACTTCTCAAGTGTGTCGAAAGGATTTGCGAAAAAGTGTAAATATATCACGCTGATATTTCGCGTGTTGATAAAAATACTGTAATGTATATGATTTGAAAGGAAAATGTTTCTATGTAACTTTTCACGGAAATGGGCTGTACAATGATTGCGTAAAAAGCCAATAAAATGTCGGCTGTAGAAATCGAAAGGAATTTTGTCACGTGACTTTTGCCCATGCTACCGAAAACTACCCATCACAATATCACGGCGTTGAGACGCCGTGAAATAAAAGAATGCGAAACCAACTCGTCATTTTTTTTAAATGTGTTTATTAAAGAAACATATGGACATGAATATTTACAAAGTAATTCTCTGTATTCCTAAATTGTTAAGATAAGTACATGAACATTTTCCAGTTGTACAATCAAAATATTCAATTCATTTTATTCAGTTTTGTTATATATTTTTAACATAAACTATTTGACTAAGAGTTGAGATAGATTGGAAATGTTGTCGTACATCTAATATGGAAATAATCAATATATATACAAGTAAGTAAAATGCATTTTTTTAATAATTGGGTCAAAATTCAAAGATTCAAAATTTTATTAAGGCGCAAACATACTGCCTATTGCCATAAACGAATATAAATACGAAAAGTTTATTTAAACAATAATGGAGTTTATAAACATATAAACAAATGCTTAAAACATCTAAATACGAGAAAAATAATATTACATAGTTATATAATATGACAGTCATTAAATAAATACTAATAATACCATTAATGCTTAAAATAATTTGAAATTAGCTATCAGTTGTTTCTCTACCTAAATTTATAGTAACTTGTTTGTTTGTTTGTTTCATCTCACGCCTTTTTCCAACAGTATTTCAGTCATAAGGGCGGGTAGTTTCCTAACCATCGTTCCTGGAGAGTTACACCAGTACTAGACTACCTTCCTCCGCGCTAAACTACCAAAGCATCTCCCGGGGATCGAACCCATGCCAGAGACGTAATTGGATTAGAAGTCATCGACACTAACCCCTCGACCACGGGGGCGGTCAAATTTATAGTTAAAGCATAGTAAATAAATAAAGAAAATTTCTTTAAAACGTTCTGTTGCGAGTTATTTATAGACACTTTAAACATTTGTGCATTTAGTCAAGAGCAGTAGTTTTTTGGAACACATTGTCTTCGTAGATCAATGTTATACGGATAAACAAGTAAAAAAGATAATTAGTTTCCACTACATTCATATTTTTTTAAACATAATGGAAGATTTATTTCAATATTTCTAAATCTACCTTCTTCTATCATTAATTTATTAGCAGAACATCTAAAACGTGAAAGGGATATTCTGAATTTATTATTTATTATACAATCAAGATATTTCTCTTTTCCAAAAGTGCTTTAATTAAACTATTCGTGTCGAGTTTACTAGAATTATTAATTACAGAAAGTCATTGTTGATAATATTGATCATTATATACGTTGGATAACAGACTTAAGAAAAATAGAATTAGGGTTATCATATAAATAAGAAAATTCTAAGTCTCGTAAGAGACATTTTACATCATTGGTCCATTTATTTACAAACTGATTGTTATTATATGTCATCATCATCATAAGTTTATACAAAAATGAATCTAGATTCTTAGCAGTTTTAAACCAAAACTTTACAATACTAATCTTATGTAAAACAAGAACGGGTAACTCTCCTTAATTCACCCTATACGGTAACATTACATGTTTGTTGTCCAATACCTAATCACTGGGGAGGAAGTGTTACACGAGGGATGGAGTTCTTATGATAACTTGTCAGGGAGTTCTTGTGATAACTGTAACGGATTTTGTCGGAAAACTAATGTATATACTGCTAAAACACTCGTCAAAATGGTAATTTCCATCTGTAAAAAGTGAGTTTTTATGCGCTAAATTAAACTTTCATGATTTAGCTTGCCTTACATATTGTATAATGTGTCAAAAATTAATTCATAGTCCATTTTTCATCGCCTCTTGCTTAAAATATGTGGTTTTGAGTAGAATTTCCAAATTACTTGCCAATTCGCAAGTATTGACCTGTTTATTTTAAGTATTCATCCTTTCCATACATAATTACCTAATTATAATGCAAAATTGCAAACATAAAGCCCCGGCTAACAAATTTATATACCCGATTTTTCAAATGTCCCGGAGTTCTTGCGATAACTCAAAATATGTCCTGGAGTTCTTATGATAACTTTTGTTACTGCCAATGTGTTTCTTGTGCTAAATCACGGCACGTTTTAGCATTTTTTATTATTCAATAAGGTTGTAAATCATTATGAAATGTAGTACGCTCATTTTTTGCACAAGAATGAGGATATATAATGTTGGTTTTGAGTGTATTTTAGTTAAAGAGATATTACTGAGATATCTTATCCCCGTTTCTTTTTTATGGTATTTTTGCTGACGCAGATTTCGTAGACTGGAAAAAGGATTGATGTAGAGCATTGACTTTCATGATAAAATGCGCTCAAGTATGGTGTCTTCATGTATATTTTTTCTGCCGATGTTTGATTTGTATTTCCCGTATGTAATCTAAGTGGAGAAAACTCTGCTAATTTTGCTGTAATTGATAACAAAAATATATTTTAGTCAAACTTATTTCGCTCGAACCAGGAGGGACTAGCAAATTTGTTCGAAAGATCGGTTGTTATAGAGCCAACCGAAGTTGAGGTTTTATCATGTTATCGCACTTTTTGGAAACATAGGTTTGAAGAAATTATCCTGGTTTTATACATGTACTTGTTTATTATGGTATAAAAATTACTTAGCCCCTAAGATAAGCGATGCACAACTACATATACTACATATTATCTGCTTAAGAAAGATGGTTGTGAACAACGTGTAAGTTTTGAAATATTTTTGTTTTGTGGTTTAGGCCATGATACTGTCGCTGATAAAATATTTACTGTAGATGACAGCCTATCACCTGCTTATCCTTTGCAGACACTCAATATCAACATTTTATCAAATTTTTTGTGCAAAGGAAGTGCGTATTATATTACATAAGTATTTACAACCTTATTAAATAATAAAAAACGATAAAACGTGCCGTGATTTAGCACAAGAAACACATTGGCAGTAACAAAAGTTATCATAAGAACTCCAGGACATATTTTGAGTTATCAAAAGAACTCCGGGACATTTGAAAAATCGGGTATAAATTTGTTAGCAGGGGCTTTATGTTTGCAATAATGTATTATCATTAGGTACTTATGTAAGGCAATGATGAAGACTTGAAATAAACAGGTCAATACTTGCGAATTGGCAAATAATTTAAAATGTTTACTCAAAACTACCAGATTTTAAGTAAGAGGCGATGAAAAATGGACTATGAATTAGTTTTTGACACATAATACAATATGTAAGGCAAGCTTAATCATTAAAATTTAATTTAGCCTCTAAATCTCACTTTTTAAAGACGAAAATTACCATTTTTGACGAGTGTTTTCGCAGTTCATACAATAGTTTTCCAACGATCTCTGTGACAGTTATCACAATAACTCCTTGACAAGTTATCATAAGAACTCCATCCCTCGTGCAACACTTCCTCCCTCGTGCTAATACTTACTTCATAAACTGTTTGCACTTGCTCAATATCCGGTGAATTATGACAGCCCATAGTTAAGAATACGCATTATCAAAGAATCAAATAAATTATTTTTTCAGAAACTTTCAATGACAATTTATCAAATTTAATTACAATATTGTCAGTAAATGAGGAATTCAATGAAACACAATAAATAACACTCATATGAATTCTAAGAACCATACAAAACGTCTTCGTTGGTTTAAAAGTTAAATTTGTCTATTAAGTATTTACTTAAAATTTCATAGAGGAATTTGCTTATACGTCAAATACTTAACTGGACGTTGTCCTTCAAATGAAAAATAACATTTCACAAATCATTTCAACTTATAAGGATTCTGCTATGTAGAACAATTTCTAAAATTTACACGTTATTTATTTTATTATCTTTTTCGTCGCAATGGCAATAAAATATCCTTATATTAATTTTATTAACATATCTAAGTGAGAATAAGTTAAGAATGATCAAAATCAGAAGGAAAAATCCACATTAAAAAAGTCTGCCAATACGTATTCCACAAATACTTTCCAATACTTTATTCCACAAATATTTATGTTGATAGTATTCAGTACCATGTGCGATAACAAACCACAAAAGAACTATATATAAAAAATTGTCTAAGAACACAATACAAAATGTTTTATCATTCATTACATAAATGAGAATTATATTTCATTTTCTTCCAAAGAATAATTTATAAAAATATCCAAATGATACATTTTCATTTTTGAAATGAATTTCTGAAATACTTTTTGCAAACATGCTTTTGCAGACTAATCAATTTAAGGTTATATAACAAAATTTTGTTGTCTATCTATTCGACCTTTTGCGTTGTTCGGTGTAAATAAAGAATGCTGCAGCCAATCGAGAGAGAAATATTACAGGGCATAATCAGAGCTTTCACTGGTTTTATCATCAAGCATTAGATTTATACATACAAGAAAACTCATCTCCCAATAATTTCACTGAATATTCTTGATGATAGGTCTTTAAAGCAATAAATTGTTCACCTAAAATGGCCGCAACTGCTCCTCCAAATGGTTCAATCGTAGATGAATTAGTCTCGCTTCATCCTTAGCCAACACGTCACACACGTCATTTAACCGACATTTAAAGTCGTGAGATCCAGGGAAAAGGACATGACGAATACGCATGAACTTTTCTTTCTCCAATTGTTCTTCCAAATATTTGAAATATTTCAATTCTTCAGTTTTAAGATGATTCACCGATATGCCTATCTCATCAGATACACTTTCAATAGTGTTGTCGTCAAGGGAAAACGCAATATTGCATGTAAAGGAATTCAAGCCAAAACCATACCTTGAAATAACTTTTTGCCAGAAAAAATGATTTTTTTTCAGTTCTCTGTTCTTCTCCAAAATGCCTTTTAAATGAGTTTCTAATACTTGACGTAAGGGATATCTTTTGTAACTCAATATTTTGTTAAGTTTAAGCAGCAGATCTGGGAAATCAAATTTGGAAGATTCTCTTGAGCTGACTAAATAGATACCACTTTTCTTATGAGGAAATTTTGATTTTTTAAGGTTGCTAACAATGTCCAATTTTATTTTCCGTAAGCAACTAGTCTCGTTGAATGTACTCGGATGATCAATTATCTCATTGTATAGATATGCGTCAATTTTTGTCCGAAGAAAGAATATATAGCTCCCATGTTTAAGGATCTCATTGGCTAGCCATACGTCATTTTCTGAAAATCTGGAGGTAGACACTATCATAAAGGCATCAAACTCCTTCAAATTAACGGCATTGAGATAATCCCTTTTGTTAAAATTTTGTGTCCCTACCCCAGGTAAATCCCAAAGACTGATATTTTCGTTACTCGGAAGAACGTATTCTTGCTTTTCCATTATGGTCTCTACTACACCAACTGGGGCAGCACCATTGTCCTCAGGCTTGAGACCTCTGATGGCATTAATAAGACTCGACTTTCCGGTTCCAGAATTTCCAATGATGGCAATTTTCAATTTTTGTGTCTTCCAGATTTGAATGTTTTTGCTTATATACTTCATTAGACCACGTAGAACTCCCAATTCATCTGTATACATCTTAAGATTGGTTTTATCCACAAATGTCTGAAATACCTGCATTTTAAAGGTACACTTTGTACTGAAAATTTATTGCAACCTTACACCAAAACCTAAACAAATACAACAATTTGATACACGAAGGGTAAAAACATTAAAACTACTAGACGGGTTTTTTGTCACAAAAACCTTATGTCTCCCACGTATGTACTATAAGGATGGAGCAACGGCATATAAAACTAAACAGCAGTTTGACCTGTGAAAACCATACAAGGTTTTTCTATCACAACAAGCGTTGGTACTGATCACACCTTGGAGGTTTCATCGCAATCCCGTCAGTAGTTTGACCTGTGAAAGCCTGACAAGATATTTCTATATTTAGCTTGGCGGCCATTTTATGTAGCAAAGCGGGACGTCCTGGTTATATGCACAACAACGGTTGGTACTGATATATCCTGTTAGGTTTCGTCGAGATCCCACCAGCAGTATGACCAGTGAAAGACGGAAAAGTTTTTCCGATTTTTAGCTTTGGCGGCTATTCTTGTGCAGATCAGTTTAACCTGCGGAAGCCGGACAACGATATTTTAATTTTTAGTTCTAGTCGCCTATTTGTGAAGTAAAGCAAAACGTGCCGGCGATATGCAAAACTAGGATTGGTACTGATAACCCCTTTGGAAATTTTGTTGAAATCCTGCCCGCATTTTTTGATCTGTGAAAGCCGGACAAGATTTTTCTTTATTTAGCTCTGGCAGCCAAGCTGAATGAACAGGCGAAATGCAAAAAAGGAGATTTTTAAAAATTCAAAAGTTCATGTGAAATGTTGAATTCTGCTTAAGCCGGTGTTAGAGGGCGTGGACGGTAACTTGTAATTTCAAGTCCCGTTCATGAACAGACTCAATCAAACTGAGTCTGTAACATTTTCAATTTTGCAATGTTGGGCTTTGTTTTGTCCTATTTTGGTACTGATCACCCCTATGAATTTTCGTCTCATTCCCGCCAACAGTTTGACCTGTGAATGCCGGACACGATTGTTGCAACCTCATTTTCGATTTCAATTTTAGGATACACAAGATATTTTAAAAGTTAGAAAAATAGTAATTTTGACCAGTAATTGATTACTACTCATAAGATAAAAACATTAATTGAATACGAATACATTGTAGAATATCAAGACATGATGTTTTACTTGTTTTCATAGAGTAATTATAGACTTAATTAAACATAACAAGGTGGAGAAATGACTTTTAATGACAGTTACCCATATGACATTTTCATATCCCTTCTTGCATCTAAAGAAATCATAAAAGAAATGGGAAGAAAATATCCGCTTCATTGAAATCATAATCTACATGTTTTTATTATTCTGCATTTCCGTTCACGATTTTCAACTTTCAGCTTATTTTAATAAGCATTAAACGCTCTGGATAAATTAACTATATTATAGAGTATTGAGTTAATAACTTACTCTATTCTCCTCTTCGTCGGGATCACTTTCATCTCCCTCATCTTCAGTATCATCATCAGTTTCCGGATGTTGATCACTTGCATTTTCTATACATCTTCTTCTTTCTAACTCTAACCTAGGTTAACATAAACAGATAATGCATGATTGAATGTAGCCAACTGCAACATGTAAAGTTTGATTTTATACTAGTATTAGGACTGAAAGTGTTTTATAATTATGAAAACATAAGGAAATAAATATCTTTTACTTTTATATACATAATGACTTCAGTAAAATCCAACTGGACAATGTCACATATAAATACGTTTGTGAAACCGATATTTTTATTTTCCTGTATGAATAAATATAAAATCAGTCTTCGAAACTTGTCAATTGACTACAGGCATTGATGTCAAAAACTATACCCATAGTATAAGATGACCACCAATAAATCAAACACACAAAAGATATCAACAAAGGAGGAACATTTTAACTTTGAGCATGAATTAAGTTGTTATTTAGTTGATCTGGAAGCAATGTCACTTTTACAGTTTTAAAGTTAGTTGATATCCAGAAGGGCATGGGTATAGTTAAATGACTGTGTTTCAATTTCAACATACTCAAGTTTACATAATATTTTCTTTCTGTGATCCGACCACTCCCTTCACAATAATTTTGACTACCCTGACAAGCTCCTTTTTATTAATTACACGGCAGACAATTTTCCTTCCGTTTGTTGATTTTACCCCGAGCAATTCATTAAAGGAATGAGTTGAAAGAACTATTTAACAACAATATTAATTATGTCATGGGTATATATTAAATAGCTCTCATGTTTTTAGTTTAAAGTGACATTATGTCCATCTAAGGGTATATAGTGAGTGAACATGTGAATAAATAAATAAAGTTTAATTTTGCAATAATTCCTTTTGATTTAATAATTGACTTAGCATAATCAGTAAATAACGCACGGATCCTAAGGAATTTCCATTAAAATTTACATGTACCGTTCAGTTTATAAAAAGAGGGAGGCAGTCTTTTTATTTAAGGCAGACTTATAATTTTATCCTAAACATTTTCAAATATCACCTGTTGGTCGAACATGATTTTAACAGTCAATCTTTTGAAATATAAAGTCAATTCAGCTCAACTTGACTATGAAAATATGAGCATAATGTCACTTTATTGAAAAGATTAAATAGTACTTTTTGAATAATTTTTGCTGATGGACATGACTGACGAACAGATATAATATGTATTCCCCTCAAATGCAGGACAAAAAATGTGTATAAACGGCATGGCTAAGAAAGAATTACTGGTATATATGTACTGATTACTAGTTATCCTGTGATACAGATTAAAAAGGATTTAAATATCATTTTAATTTCAAAATTATATCATAATCATGTTGTATACCTCTCTTCTTGAATTCTTTCTCGAGAAGGAACATCAGACACTGTGTCTTCAGAGCTAGTCATTATTTTGTTTGTTGTCATGCCATCTGAACTTCTGTAATGTGAATTTTTTTCTATGAATAAAAGCCATGCGCTTAAATTCTGACAGACATATACTTTTATTTACAATGAGGTTTTAAATTACTTAAATATAACAATATAACATAAAAAATATAACAACATGATTTATTCCATTTGACAAATACAGGTATATACAGATTATGGCATGAAAATAAAGTATGGAAAAGGTTTTAACAAGTTTTTTTTCCAATTAATTTTTGTCCAATTAGAGAAAAACACTGGATTTGAAGTTCATCACAGGTTGTATATCAATCTACATGTCTTGCAAAAAGTATTAACCAGTTGCACAGAAAGAAACATCATTTATTGGAAAAACGTATCTGACAAGTTTTGTTATTTTGATATATTTGGGTGATTACATAATAGTATGAATTGAAATTGACAACAAAGTTCTAGAAATCGACACTTCATACATGTTCACTGCAAATATGACGGCTGTCACTTAAATCAATATCTTGCAAATATAAGACAAGGCTCTTATAAAAACAAAGAAATAACTCAAAAACATAGCAAAGGATTACAAGAGCCAAACATAGAGAGGGTGAAGCTCGACATTTTCATTTCTCTTATGGGGAATTAAACATGTAAATAAATAATAAAAGTTTGACAATTTTAGCAAATTTAATAAATTGAGAATGACAATCAAGGTTAGTAGTTAAAGGTCAAGTTTAATTGTGTCATTTGTGCTTTTTTGTCCAAGATGATGCAAATCTGTAAGTAAACAACATAGTCACAATGCATTTATTTATTACAAAGTAATAGCCAATTATTACTAAATGCCTGGAGGGACATTTATTATTTAAAAGTTATTACATATTACCTTTCATATATAACTTATGACTTTTTATTTAAAGATAATGAATTAATATTTTCATAATACGTCTGATATTCTATTGTACCGCCAAATATGTCACAAAAAAGGAAATTATGTTGTTTTCATACATTATGTTTATGGTATAATTTCAGTTTTAACAAAGAATAACTCTATTATTTACATATACATATATATTGTATATTAAAAGAATAATAAAATCCAAGAACAAAATATTACTCAGTTGTTTTAGAAATGATTTCTTGCATGCAACAAATTCTTTCAAAGATATTTTCACACATATGTATGGAAGCCATGGAGGGACATTTAAAATTAATATATCAAAATTAAAACTTAATTAAAATGAAACTAGGGTGGCAGAACTATCGACATGGATCTACAGAGTTGATACTGAAGCAAAAGATGCATGAGCACAAATGATGTATTACACAATTTGGGGATAGTCTTGCAGTTTAAAGAATAAGAAATCAAGCGCTTAGTTACTATTTCCCGGATGGAGAAAGTAACATGGACAGTGTGTAAGACTACGACTTATCATTGGCTTTAGTTACAGTAAAAGTGTTTGGCAGTTTTACTGATGTAGACCAAACTCTATGCAGTTAACAGAACATTTAAGAGCGAAAATTTTGTATGCATCATAGTGCGATATATCTGAGATCAAAAAAGGAGAACAAAAGTTTCGTGATAAATAGAGTTCCTGTAGAAAAGGGCGACAAAACTATTTACATAATGTACAGCAAAAGCACTCATTATATTCTGAAGAACAATCTAAAGTATTTGCGGTGCTTTAAAAAAAAGAGAAAAAAATAAATCATGAATATGATCCGTTTGAAGCTGGCTATGTGGTTTCTAGAATAGAAGTACAGAACACAGTCTTCCTAGAAATAGATGGCAACGTTTATAATTGTCCAGAAGCTTCATCGCAGCAACATTTTGTATTGAATGGGCCAAATCAAATCTTTGGTTTGGAAGTTGATGATTGTAATTGTTTGGTTCTTGGTGCAATCACAATTGCTCATAATAATAATTACATTTAATAATGGATAATAAACGGAAATTTATTGTGTAGTGGTATCAATCGTTGTTCTGCTTTAATGTGAAATTGTATGCAACTGACATATATGTTGTAGCCCTTATAAACATACAAACTAATTGACAATTATAGATTATGATGTGATTTTGATTATTATAATAATATCAACGTAAAAGGTTAGTCAAATGAGCATAGAACATTTGTGGCATATGTTTATTTTAGTGACAGTTCTATTTAGTTGAAAATTATAATTTTTGTTGAGTTTGCCTAGTTGAACTTTCAGTTCACACCCACATGGCAAACTTGCCGTGTATTTAACTTAACCTGAAAACATAAATCGTGTTATGAATATCCTTTTATTATTATGTTGTATGCTGTAGGTATTGGAAGTTGAACCTGAAGCGATTATTCATTGTTTTTATATTCTAATTAGTCACTGTACTTAGAGCAAAAACTATTACCTGATTTTAAAGTTGTCTGTTATTATACCTTTTAACAAACAACTTTAGCCTATATAACGCCCTCAGTAAGGGAAACAATATTAATTATCATCTGTACTCCTCTTGCTGTCATTTGTCTAAAAGTAGCAGTGCATAACTGAATGGTTTGCCTGCTAACTGCACTGTAAAATCAGAGAAAATGCTAAATGCTCAGGGGAAAATAACGGACATTTTCTTATTTGAATGAAACAGTTTATTTGCGTTACCTTGGCAACAGTAGCTTAAGAGATGATATTAAAGATGTCAAACTACTGTATTTCTATTTCTATCACGGACCTCGTGACCAGATTTCAATTTCTTGTAACAAAAATGTTTTTAAAGAATGTCGAAAATGATGGGGTTTCCTGTCATTGATAATTTCAGCCAATTTAGCTCACAAGAGTTAAAATAGATTTGTTAATATTTTGGCATAGTTTATTATCGGATTTGTTTGAATCGTTAGGAATAGTTAGTCTTAATAAACACAAAATAAACAAAATAAAGGTGGTTTAAAAGCTCGTCACAGACTTAGTTGATCAAACAGTAGTATACAGAAGTTTGTTTGTCATTTTATTTTAAAACGACATGTTAGATGCATAACTATTTTCATTGAAAACTGTTCTGAAATGAATAGAGCTCTGTGTTTAATTTAATAAAGAGAAAACCTGATTAATCTTGATTCCTTTTTAGCTCAGCTCAAAGGTGAGCTACTGTCATTGCCCACTGTTTGTCGTCTGTCGGTATGTTTCTCAACATTTGCCTTGTGATCCAATACAGGTCATATTTTGTATCCAGTCTTCATAAAATAGTTCAGAATGTTTATCTAATTGATTTTCTAGGTCAACTTCTCATATGGGTAATCTTGGGTCATAAAATTATGTCACTATTTCAAATCAAAGAACAACATAGAGAACACTTTAGATGCTGTAATTTCAACTTGAACAAGCTTATGAGAATATTTGTCTGGATAATCTTAAGGTCGAATTTGAATCTGGGTCATATTGGGTAAAAATAGGTCAAACCAATTTTGAACAATATAGGTATTTTTTCTGTTGGTACAACTTGTAACTTTATGATAGGCCATCTATGTAGGTCAAAGTTGAATTTGGTCCTTTGTTAAAGAGTCCTAAAAGTTGACCCCTTCTGAAGAACATTTCTGGTTCTGCACACGGTCTACTCAAATATGCTGGCAAATTTTTAGTACTGCCTACAAAGAGCTCATAAGGTTTATCTTCTATTTGTCTACATACGGTTTACTTAGATTTCTAGTAATGTTTATTCCAAGTCGGATTTGAACTTCGTCATGCAATCATGAATGAAGAATCAGAATGTTTCAAAAGAGGTCTTGTATTTAAGTTCTGTTAATACTTTTTTCCGTTTGTTTTATGACCTGTTCTAACAATAAGTAACGCGAACTCGAGATCGGCCTAGATTTAATTGAGGTAAATACTGATCAATTTCTATGAAGATCAGGTGGAAAATAAAGAAACAGGAGCGACAGAGTCTAGAAATTATTTTAACCTAGGGAATGGGGAGAGTATACATAAATCTAAATTATCTTATTAATGGTTTATAATTACAGGTTTTTATGCTTATTCATCATTTCACCTTTGAAATTTTATCTAGTTGTTAAACATAAAAAGCACAAATTTCGGAAAACAATGAACATCAATAATTATTCATTATAAGTATATATATTATTGTCTGATGTTCAGCCATCTGGATTAGTTTCATATTCTTTAAAATTGTGAAAGTGTTTACGAAAACCATGCGTGATACGAAAACCTGTGTAATATAGATATAATAAAAACATGAGGTACATTTTAAAAAGCAAGGTAGGCATCAAAAGACTGATGTTTGGAACACTATACTGTCACTGATGTTATCATAGCAACCAAACAATTGTTTCTGGTTAAAAAGGAGCAAGGAATGATTTAATAGGGCAAGTAGCTTCCAACTTACCTGACATAAATATAATCATCAAATTAAACAATACTTGTCAATGAATTAAGATGAAATGTCTAAACTAATTTTTGTGATGTAATGTTGCGTATGAACAATCAACATTTAGTTCTTCATATGCATAGAGTAATGCTTCATACAACTCAAATGCTTTAACAGCATTAGTAGGCATCTGTATGTTTGGCTTTAGAATGAAAGCCAACTCCTGTAAAGTATCGCTACATATTTGCTTATGTATTGCGTATAGTTCTTTGCAAATTTCAATATCCTATAAATCAGCATTAACACCATTATCAGTACAACCTGATAGCCTAGTACATTTAACAACATTTCTTGTCTTCCAGTACACGTGTCTACATGTTTCTGTGGTCGCACATTGTGTAAATTCCAGTGAATGCAGTGCGATCAAGTCCCGCTTAAAGAACATCCGTTACACAAAATCGCAAGCATTCTGCATGAATAGGGTTTGATGCATCTCAAATCCTTCAACGTATTCATCCACCAATTTGTTTCTAGTTGCTTAACATATCCCCACCATACGCTAATTTGCGGTGCTTTTACCGTACATAAAACTTTTCAATCCAGCCATGGAATCAGTATGATAGTTCATGAAGAACGGCAGTAGAAAACTTATTTT